ACAATCATTATGTCTGAACTAAATATGTCAGTATTATCAGCGTGTATCCCCCCCCCCATACAATCATTATGTCTGAACTAAATATGTCAGTATTATCAGTGTGTATCCCCCCATACAATCATTATGTCTGAACTAAATATGTCAGTATTATCAGCATGTATCCCCCCATAAATCATTAAGTCTGAACTAAATATGTCAGTATTATCAGAGTGTATCCCCCCATACAATCATTTTCGTCTGACAACATCTGTCAGTATTATCAGTGTGTATCCCCCCATACAATCATTTACTATCTGAACTAAATCTCTCTGTCAGTATTATCAGTGTGCATCCCCCATACAATCAATTTCTGTCTAGGCTAAATCCAACACAAAAAATTCTAAAAAAACTGTATAAAACATGCACTCCACACCTAGGCTAGATCTCATTTACATAACCAGTTCTCTTAACATTATAAATAATAATGCTTTGATGAGTGCCCATAAAATATTTTTAGACCAGCTACATGGTGTGAATAATTAAACTAAAAGCATGCAATATTATCAAGACAATAAAAAGTAAAAAAAAAATTTATGCTAACACACCAACCAAATTTAGTAAGTAATGTAGCAATAATGATACTAAAATTTGACATATATCAACACTGCATTTAACCTCTAGCTGTTAACTTAAACAGACTCACCATCAACCTAAGAAAACTCATTATTCTTCATTATTATTCCTAATGTATGATATATTTCTTCTAATTTAAGGATTTGACTCGCTACCGCTAAGTGTATTGTAATCACTATTTATTTAACTATTTTTATTCTCCTGTGTTTATGTTTGTTTTCATTTATGTGAAGCAAAAGGGCCCAAGCAAATAAAATAGACACAAGGACTAAAATAGATCCAAGTAACAGCATAAAGTTCCCTAATAACTACAACACACATAAGGACACAAAAAGACCCTATAACCACAACACAGATAAGAACACAAAAAGACACTATAACTACACACATAAGAACACAAAAAGACCCTATAACTACAACACACATAAGGACACAAAAAGACCCTATAACCACAACACAGATAAGAACACAAAAAGACACTATAACTACACACATAAGAACACAAAAAGACCCTATAACTACAACACATATAAGAACACAAAAAGACCCTATAACCACAACACACATAAGAACACAAAAAGACCCTATAACCACAACACACATAAGAACACAAAAAACCACATAACCACAACGCACATAAGAACACAAAAAGACCCCATAACCACAACACACATAATAACACAAAAAGACCCTATAACCACAACACACATAAGAACACAAAAAGACCCTATAACTACAACACACATAAGAACACAAAAAGACCCTATAACTACAACACACATAAGAACACAAAAAGACCCTATAACTACAACACACATAAGGACACAAAAAGACCATATTCACAACACAGATAAGAACACAAAAAGACCCTATAACTACAACACATAAGAACACAAAAAGACCCCATAACCACAACACACATAAGGACACAAAAAGACCCCATAACCACAACACACATAAGAACACAAAAAGACCCCATAACCACAACACACATAAGAACACTAACTACAACCCACGCCAGGGCGTACATGGGCTACTGTGACACAAAGGAAAAACCCAACAACCCTGGTGTAACTGAGCTTGCCTACAACAGATCATTTAACACCCTATTGTGATAGCAGATTGTGTAACACCAGCTACAGATAAAAGCCCACACTGGCTATATAGTCTACAGCTGTGTTTATGTCAACATTAATGATGAGGGGTTTACTATCAACATGTATTTCTAACCTTAGATATACCCAGTCTTCATATCCTAGCCTTCACACAGATAAAGAGTAATTGAAATATAACTCTAGAGTTTAATGTATTACAAAGATAGTGTAACTCATTCTATAGATAAAAACTTTTTATGTCAAGAGAAATAAAATGAGTTGAACTGTTTAACTGGTTGCTGAAACAACAAAAGGAAAATTGAAACTCCTGATAAGTGTAATAACCAAGCAGCTTAAAATCATGTCATTGTCAATAACAGCTAAACCTAAACAAATCACAGAATAAGCATTAAACCGGTGGTAACACTTGGTCAGGTCTCTGAGGATATCTTCAAAACACATCAAACAGTATAGCAAATTTGGACCATTATCCTCTACTTTTTAATTTGTTTGAATTGGATGAAACACTATTTTAACCATAAATTTTATGATTATTATATTTGGTGTCACCTGGTAATGACAGCACTCTGCATTGTGACACTACAACATTAAACATGACATACTAAAGGTGTTAATGAAATTTAGACTTAATATGACAAAAAATAAGTAAATCACTGGAGTAAGTATTGACAAAATTAGCAACATATTTAAAAACTACTATTAAAACTAGGACTTAAACATTTTAACATTTTCACTAAATCTTACTATTTAACTAACCTTCAACTTAATTATAAAATCCATATGTCTAAGAAGGAAGGAGCTTACTGCTATACTATACTGAAGGAATACTACAGGATAATACTTAAAATCATAGTAATTGTGTTTCTCATCTGTTAATTTTAATCTTAAAGCTGTGGTATTAACCAGTCCATTTTCACTCCCACTGCTTGAGTGCCTCAATTTAAAAAAAAAACCATAAATTGTGTTTATCAATGGCATAAGTATTACATAAAAGAATTATTGACCTAATAAAAAAAAGTAAACTACTGCTAAATGGGACATACAAAACTAAAGGCCTGTCATGTGTACAGCTGTCACTAGTATTATTAAACACTCAAGCAATTTTTAAGAAAGGATGTATTAAAACAAACTCAAGTTCAAAAGCTTTCATCCTGTAATGTATCAGGGAAACACACACATGACTCATATACAACACTCTTTGTTCTATATCAGTGTCAATTTAAAGTATTAATTATTCAAATCATTTGTTTTTTCTCTTGTAGCAATATATATTACAACGGAACAGTAAAAGAGGATGTGTAATGAAATAGATTCCTCTTCATGTGATCACAATGTATTCACAACAAAGGTTTTTTTAAAGCGTTGTGTAAAAATATACTTTAGTGTGGATTATCTTGATCTCATATATGGTTATGGGTGCATTAAATGTCATAGCATTACCAGGACATTATAAAAGCCATGTAAAAGTGAAATAAATCAATACCAGGACAGTATAATGGTCATGTTAAAGTTAAAATAAACTACAGATACAAAACTCCGTTAAACCACAAATTCAGGCACATATACAAAATTCACAACAAAAAATAGTACAGAACTGCCTTTGCAACAACAAATGCTACCAGTAATACGCCTATTTCAATAATAAGGTTCAGCTAACAACCCTAAGAATGGTAACTAGATATACATTCAATTATTTTGCTTGAAAAATCTTTACAATCACAAATATATGCTAACAAATGATTTAAAACTTTATCGCCATCTGCTTTCCAAAAGATATTTTCAGAACTAATCAATATAAAAGCCCTTCCATGTAATAATGTAAAAAAAAAAGAGAGAGAAATTGAATTCTTAATTGTAAGAGCCTTTTAAGTTAAGGAAAATGTATGAAAAGAATACATATATTAATATAATAACTATTCACAGACAAAAATATAAACTATTTAAGAAAAACAACTATAGTAATCATAGGCATACACCAAATAATTTTTACAAAACTACCCTATTCAAGAAATACAGTCTAGAATTTCAATTAACTAATCCAGAATTAAAACTCTATAATTAGAAATAACCTATTGTTATGTTAACAGTGGTGTATGCTCCAATGCATGAATACATATGTTAAAATTTAGACAGAGAACTGTATGAGGGGCCACTTGTTCTATGACCCACAACCCAGACAGTGAATACATGCTTATCTTGACAACCAGAGAACATAACCGTTCACATAAAAAGGTTGTACTTTATTCCATAAGAAGTTAGAATTAAAAAACTATACATAGGCCCCCTTTTTCTCCTCAAACTTTTTTTTTTGCTAGCCAAAATAAATACTAGTGTTTGAAATAGATAATTTGTTCAGAGAGAAAAAAAGAGTCTAAAATAAAATTGTGTAAACAATCACATGTCATAAGTAAAATAACTTTAAAAATAAATAATGCTATGTATCACCATAACTGTAGTTGTATGTATCACACCTACAAATAGGAAATACTGAAACCCCATAAGCTAGGCCAACTTTTTTGACATTATATGAAGTTTTTAAATATCTTATAGGTATTGAAACAACTTAGAATCTATAATATTTAGGCCTAGGCATTTTGGTTTTTAAATGTTTAGGTAGATCTAGATCTAGTAATAAATGTAAATTTTTTAGATCCAAGTCAAAATTGCAAAATCATGACTAAATTTGAAGTTATGATTTATCCTCACATGGATCTAGATTCTAGAATCTTCCTAGACCTAGATCAGGTTTAAATATTTCATCTAGGCCAAGTTTAAGTTTACAAAGACTTGTCAACAATAAGACAAGTGCCTCCTTAAAATAATTCATTAAACCATGACACACTTTTTCTAGATCTAATCTAGATTCTAGATCTAGATCTAGAATCTAGAATCTAGATTTGATTTGTGAGTTGCTCATTGTTCCCAAAATTAAAATTTAGGGTAAATTGATTTAGATCTAGATATCTAATGTGAGAGAAAAGTACTGAACTAGACTAGATCTAGAAGTAGGGGTCTTTTTGCCTCATCATTTGACTAATTTATATTTTAGATCTAGACTCTAGATCTAGAATTCTAATCTAGATCTAGAATCTAGATCTAGAATCTAAATCTAGTATTTTTAGACAAGAATCTAGATCACTGAATTTACTGAAATATTTATTCTTATCCCATTTAGTGAGTAGATTGTTTAGTTTAGCTTAGTTGGAAATCTAGTCAATATTTGAATATTTGACTCTTCTTTGTAAAAAAAAAAATACAAAAAAAAAAACTAACCTCAAGATCCTCAAGTGTCTTGAAACTCATAATGGCAAATCCATCAATAATATCCTCTTCGAATAAAGCACCTTTAACCTTTTTAGGTTTAGATCGAGGTAGTTTATCCTTACTCGATCGTGGGGGAGACTCATCTTGGTCATCTTGGCCACTCGCTTCATCCTCCTCTCTGGTTTGTTTTTCCTGTTGGAGCTGCAATGCTCGCTCTCGACGCTTTTGTCGAGACCGTTGTTTGCCCGGGTCGGCCTCCATCGAAATTTCACTTCATATGGAGCCTGTCCCGGAAATATATATCCTAAAATGAATTCTTCAAGCTTTATAGAATCCTTAAAAGTAATCCTTGTAAATAAGAATCAACTCACAGTGATAAATATCATAAAAATAAGAAGAGAGATCCAATTCAAAAACCCTTCAACGATAGGTGAAATGGCGGATCGCATGCATACACACACAGACACACAAATATGGCCGCTTCACCGCCAGTTGGCCTAGATTCTTGCTCCGCCCCAGAAATATAGTTCTGAGATAAACTTCATTGCTTCCAAATGAATTATTATAAGTGGCGTAGTTAAGCGACTTAAAAATTAAATTTAATTAATCATTTACTGATAGTAAATATAAATATATAAATCTAAATAATTGTCTCTTTTCATATCAGTAGACTATAATTTAAAGAATAAAGCAAATCTTGCCTGAGCATAGCGAAACGACTAGCGAAATATTGGGAAATAGGTTTTTATTTTATCTGAATTACAAGCTACAAATATTGGCCCTTGAAGCAGGCGTAATGAGTGCGTCATCTCGCCGTGGTAGATGGTTGTAACATCAATTAGCCGTGATGCTAATAGCTCGCATTGTTTTGGGAAATAATTAAGATACTTGATACAATAATTTGAACCTTTTAACTTACTCATTTGCACTAGTGATGATGTAATTGTAAATAATATGTCATTAGTGCGGAGTAAAACAGGGTTAGGATTAATACTACAGTGCATATTTATCGCATTTTACCTGTTTTTGTTTATTTGCATTTTATTTGTTAATAATTTGTTAATTTATTGATTATAATAAAATTAACAATTTAACAGTAAAAATAATAATCCTGGCCCATATAATGATTATGAAAAATAACATTGTTTTTCAACGGCTATTGGACCGATGACAATGTGTGACTAGGGGGTGTGGGGTGGGGATGGGGGGGGGGGGGGTAAATGAAAGTAAATGAATAATTAGTAAAATAGTCTAAATAGTAGCTTTTTAAGTGATTTTATTGCATTTTTAAAAGTATGTACGTATATTGTAACTTAAAAATGTAGATCTAGCAATACCAAATATTTACCCAGCTTTGTTGATATTACAGATAGATCTACATGTTGTTTCAAAAACATATGTTGTATTTTACGGTAGGTGGTGGTGGGGGGGGGGAGGAGTTGTTTGTAGGTTGATAAATAAAACCAGCTATCCTGGGGGGGGGGGGGGGGGTGTTCAAACTTTTGTTACAATTGGGGGTAAGGGGTAAACTGTCAAAAAAGCGTTACGTCACTTATGAATGACCCACCCACTTCATTAGTAGAATTATATTTTTAACAATGTCCTAGTGATACTTTAATAATATTTTATTTAAAAAAAACCATTACTATTTCAAAATAACACTAGGTTTAAGGTTTTATCTTTTTTTTTATATAACAAAATTTAATTATTTGAATATTTGGTCTAATTTGTAAAACCATTTTATTATAGAAAAAAATTAATTCAACTCAGTAGTTAATGTGAAATAGCCCTTAGGGCAGTAGTTTTCAGATGTAAAAATCTGAGGCCCTAAAATTTAAAAAAAAAAAAAAAGTTTTCTTATTCACAGAAGCTTTATTTATAAACCACATTCATGACTATACTTAGACGAATCTGCATACAATCCTTGCATCCGTAAAAAAAAAAAAAAAAATTAAGAATATTTTTGACCATCACGAACTATCGCAGCAGCAGTTTAAAAAAAAAAACCGGGTCACGTCAGGTCTTGACGAACTCTCATCGTTTGGCGTGAAATTCATTCGCCTACACTCTCGCTCTTTCCGGAACACTAAGGCTATGAAAAGGACTCGAAGCGAAACTTGGCCGACAGAACTCTAGCGGTAAAACTGATACTTCATAGCTGGGATAGTACCCCCATTGTAGGGATTTCCTTAACTCAGAGATACAAATCTATTCATGCTGCAGTTCTTGTGTTTATAATATGTGAATATATATATATATATATATATATATATATATATATATATATATATATATATATATATATATATATATATATATATATATATATATATATATATATATATATATATATATATATATATATAGGCCTATATATTCAATTCTTTTTTTTCAGAAACCGTCTCAACAGCTTCCCAAAGTTTCAAGACGATAGGATGAAAAGTATAGTAATGCATAAAGGACAGACACAAGTTCATTTATATAGAGAGAGATAGACAAGTGGGGGGGGGGTGGCGGGTGCAAACGCTGCAGCGGGTTGTAGAGATGTAGGAAGGTAAAGGGACCAGATGGGTGGGGGGGAGGGGGCAAATACACTAACAACTGCTGATGGCACTGAGTTTCGAAGAAAGGCTCCCGAAACCCTCCCCCCCCCCCCCACACACTCCCTGTCTAAACTACGCACCATAAGTATAACACAATGTCAGAGGCGTAGCGATGGGGGGGGGCATATGTCCCCCGGGCGCCGACCTTAGGGGACGCCAAAATGGGTTGTAAAAAACAAATAAAAATGTCATTTCAGCGCCGGGAAGGGTCTCTACGCCTCTGCACAAAGCACACGTCTTTGGACTACAGCTAGATCTATAATGATTGAAATAAATTATGGTTACAGTTGGCTGATATATTATGCTTATATTAATAGTGCACCGTTTAAAACATCATTCAAACACGGCTGAGGTGATACTTAATGTAAACCTATTGATTATGCTCCGCCACGGTGAATCTTTTTTAAATGTAACAACTTGTGAACAGAACAAACTAAACACAAACACTTAAGAAAACACAAACTCTAACACAACGCAAACACAAACACAATGCAAACACAAATGCAAAACGCAACAACGTGATTTTTTTATTATTATTGTTTGTTTTTTTATCGGGTAGGGGAATGGATTTTTTTTTCTTTTGGTTGTTGTCGTTTATTTGAGCTATGGGTAAAAAAAAATAATGCCAACTTAATTCAGCGACTCAATCAAATTGTTTGCTGGACCAAACACAATTATTCAAACAAGCCCCAACCTAAATATTTCAGTATCTGAGACTCCTAGCTTTGTGTACCCTGTCTCATGTATAGGCCTACAGGTCTACATACAGCCTGTCTCATGTATAGGCCTACAGGTCTACATACAGCTGTCTCGTGTATTGGCCTACAGGTCTACATACAGCCTGTCTCATGTATAGGCCTACAGGTCTACATACAGCCTGTCTCATGTATAGGCCCTACAGGTCTACATACAGCCTGTCTCATGTATAGGCCTACAGGTCTACATACACGCAACCACTCGCTGAATACTGGACATGCTTGACCGTCAACTATACAAACTACTTAAGGCGAGAGTCAACACAAAGTGACCCCCCCCCCTTCCCCACATATACATCTCCCCCACTCAACTTAGAAAATAGCCTCTAGCTCTCAGCCTTTTGTCCCCCCCCCCCCCCACCCACTACCCCCGAACATGTACTGCTACACAATATGACAATATCTAATCATTGGTTTTGAGCATTAGAATAATTATTTCTGTATTAACCCATCCCCGTTTTTTTTAAACCACTAAATTCATTTCATTTTTATAATTTTATTTTAAAAAACAACACACACACACAACAGCACAATTAAATTCAGAGTTTCAAGGTTAAAGGTCGCGTCACATAATTTATTCAGTAACTAAGGGGAGTGAACCTATTCACAGGCGTTAAACCCTTGAAAACCACACAAACAATACGAACTCAATGCGTGCTTAAACCGTCCTGTCACTGTTTCGACCCGATTCGGAATTGGTTCAGCTATTGACCGCCCCGAAGTCAGGTACGAACTAAATGCTTACTTAAATCGTCTTGTCACTGTTTCGACCCGATTCGGAATTGGTTCAGCTATTGACCGCCCGGAAGTCAGGGGATGCTTGTTACGTGGTAAAATGATAGGGTAATTGTTGTACTCGATGTGGGTGACCCGCGGGGGTGGTAATTTGAGGGAGGGGGGGGGGGGGGCATTCAGCCCGGATCAGTCTCGCTTAGAAAAGGGGGCGTGGGGGGGGGGGGGGGGGAGGTCAGGCTGTATAACGAAGAGACTAGAATAATTTAACGATAAGAGATTGAGTAGAGTTATGAATGCGAGAGATCGCTGGGGGAGGGCTAAATGGGATGGGGGGGTGGGGGGGGGTGAGTTGCATGGGTTAAAAAAAGGGGGGGGGCGTGGTTTTTACAAACTTTTAATTTTACTTTAGCCAGCTACAGATGTGTTACAAACAACCCCATGATAACACATACACATTCACTCGTAACATATTGTAGGACATTAATCCCTAGACATAACTGTTTAACGTATGAGTAAAAAATAAAACATACTCTCACAAACATACACCCAACCAACAACCACCACACCATAATCGAAACTTGAATATGCCCCTGGTCGCTTATTATACGGCCCAGTTTTTCTTTTATAAATCTCTCCGGGGACAGTGCCTCAACCTCCAACCCCCCCCCCCCCCCCGACACACACACGCCCCAAGAAATCGAAAAACAAGTAAACTTTTAAAACATACATACTGTACCATCTCTCTCTCTCTAGCCCTCCACCCACCCTGCCCCTCGGTAGTTTCAAATCTCCTCCCCCCCCGAAAAAATACCACAAGGAAATCCTTCTAGGGAGCCTAAATTATTTGGGTCTACAGCGATAT